CCTGTGACAGTGCCAAGGAATTGGGAAAGGGGCATCATAGGTGCCCATCAGAGGGGCTGGGGGGTCAATGTCCATCATCAGGGTGGCTGAGCCTTGGGCCCTCTGCCCACCTCTTCTCTCTCACACTGTGGTTCTCTGCAGTGGAAATACAGCCCTTAGGAAGCATAGGATTAGACTGGCCTGGAGAAACAGTGTTGCAAGGGGCAGTTGTGTTATAGGAACAGGATGGCCACCTCTTCCATGCAGTCGCTGGGGTAGTTTCACAGCCTCCCTCCCGTGCTCTGGCTCTCGTTAGTTTTCTGATTTAACTCCTGGAGGCGGAGGCGGAGGCAGATGGTCAGATCCGGAAGGTGTGTTATCAACAGCTCTCCCCAAGCAAAACAAAAGTAACCTTCGGGTCACAGAGAGATGGGGGCCTCTGCAGAAAGTGAGATTTAAATACAAAGTGGAAAAAGATACTTTGAGAAAGGGCACTTTATTTTTAGAAAAGAAAAGGAATTAGGAGAAGATAATGGTTGCCATGGCAATGGTGGAGGCTGCATATATTCCATGGGCCTGGCTTTACATGCGGTGCAGGGAGCAAGACCGATTCCCTGGTGACTTCAGAAACAATACAGGCAGAAATAAAAGGGCTGTCCTGAAACAATGCGTCACGTCAGTCCCCCTGCCCTGTCACTGGCGCCCTCCTCCATAGCCTTGGATTACCGCGCAAAAAAAAAAAAAAAAAAAATCCATTTCTCCACATGAAAGGGGGAGGTGGCGCAGGCAGCATCTGCCGGCCTCTGCATTAACCCGGAAGGACCGGGCAATTTGGTTGTAAACATTTAAACACTTGGAGAGTCCACAGAAAAGTCAGATTCCTGCGTTCTCTTGGAAGCGTAGGAAACCCAATCATCCCGGCCTCCGGTTTCATGTGTCAAAAACCAGTCACGGTTTCCTCTCAACCTCATCCCACGCCCTTCTGCCTAATCCTCTTTATACCACTGCCTGGTCTCCAGGGCCATCCAGGTTCGGAGATCCATTCTGGTTATAGCCATCGTTTTCCTTCGAGAGCAGTGCCTCTCCAACTTCTGCAGGTGGACGGCGCATTAAGATGTGAATTGCTGGGTCCCATGCCCAGAGTGTCTGCTCCTTAGGGTGGGGGTCAGGGTGCGGAACTTGCCCTTCCCCATGATGCCCATGCTCCTGGGCTAGCGGCCACATTCGTGGGACCCACTGCCCCCGAGATGAATGGTTCCTACCCTTTGGTTAGCAAACACACCGCCCATCACCACCTTGATGATAGTCCTCAAAGAAATGTAGATTCAGTTGAATAACATGGGAGCCATTTTTTGCTCATTGCCGCTCAGCAGAAGAAGAGACCGCCTTTCGGGGGTGAGGGGAGAAGGACCACTGTGCCCCGCAGTGCTTGTGTCTGCAGGAGTTGGAGGTTGAAGTCTCCACAGGAACCCAGTCCCCAGACACCTGCAGATGCCTCTGCAGAGGCTTCAGGTTTTCTCAGACATTGGGGCCGGCATCTGTAGTTCTAGCCGGTCGGTTTCATGTTTTGTGTCCATGACAAACGAGAACGTGGACAAGAAAGAGCGAGCAAAGTCTATGGACACAAAGGAAAAGTCCCGCAGGGCAGTGAGAGGGGTCTGCCAAGCAGCAAGGCCGTGGAGGGGTAGGGGGAGTGGCTTCTGGGGTTGTATACCCTTCCGGACTATGGGAAAGTTAAATACGGGGTCTTCCAAGCGGTTATTCAGTACTCAGTGCTCTCCCTTCCTGCTGTGGTCTCATCCTGATTTTGTATTCCTTCCTATGGTTAGTCTCTGCTCCCAGGACCTTATCTGCAGCTCTCTTATCTTGCTAATTTCCAGTCCTCCTGCCCTTACCTTCAGTTCTTCTGTCTTGTTCATTCCCAGTCCCCTTGTCTTGGACCTGGCTCTCCACGCTAGACCCTTTGCCTCTGGCTAGCTACCTTAGAGACTGAACTGTCTCTTGATTCTATTGCCGTGGAATCAGGAGCTTTGAGCCATTTGCCTCAGATCTCAGAGAAGGGAGACCCGACTGACACAGGGGTTCTGTGAGAAAGATTTCATCTAAACCGAAGTATTTCATTCCTTTACCCATTTTAATCATCAAAGCGGTGGATGGCAAAGAATCTAAGCTTCTCTTTGTGGGAGACGGCATCTCGGAGGCTCTCAATTCCAGACAGAAGCACCAGCAGTTGGCCTTTTAGATAGTCTGAGCAGGCTTATAAAGGAAGACCCTTTGTTGGCATCTTCTTGAAACACCTGCGATGACTCTCAGACACCCCAGATTCCCGTTGAAGACTGTGGCCATCTGGAGATGCTGGGATGTCTCCTGGAAAGAACCTGGTCTAACACAGGGGATGTCGCAGGCCTGGTCCAGAAATGGTTAAAATGGACATTTGAGTTTATGTTTCCAAATTCTTAAGTCCATGCACATTGCTTTGTCATCATATGCATTTTTCATAAACCTTTACAATTATGTATTCATTTATTTTCATTTTCTTTGAAAACCAGAGAGAGATAGAGACAGACAGAGATCTTCCATCTGTTGGTTCACTTACCAAATGCCCTCATCAGCCAGGGCTGGCCCAAGCAAGGTCAGGAACCTGAAATTCAATTTTGGTCTCTCATGTGGGTGAGACCATGTGCTTGAGCCATCACCCTCTGCCTTCCAAGGAAAGCGTCAGCAGGAAGCTAGAACGGAGAGCGAAGCTAGGAATCGAATCCACCTACTTTGATATGGGTCACAGTGTTCCCAAGTGGAATCTTAACCACGGTGTCCTAATCTCACACTTTCTCATTAAGTGGCCCCCATAGGCATGGATTTCAAAACTTTTTGCACCAAAATAAGTTTATTTTCAGTTCCATTCTCCAGGAATGTTTTGAAGCACCCTCAGTTGCATTCATGAAAGTGTGACATTATTGAAGACATGTTAATGGCAATCTTTCCTTTATTGAGCACATACTATGAGCCCAGTGTTTTAAGTACATTTTTAAGTTTAATATTCACAACAACATTGAAAGTAAGGATTTTACCACCATTCTACAGAGAGAAAAATTTGCTCAGAGATTTAATGTTTTCAAGCATCTTTTGGCTGGTGAGTGGTAGAGTTGGGGTTGGAACCCAGGTCTGTCATTTTCTGCTAACCACCCCATTGCTCAGTGCTTCTCAAATTAAAGGCTTGCCTTTATTATTACGTGTACAGCTTTTGAACATGGCAAGCAATATCCAGGTTTAAAACCAATCCCTGGGGCCGGCGCTGTGGCTCACTTGGTTAATCTTCTGCCTGTGGCGCTGGCATCCTATATGGGCACCGGTTCCAGTCCTGGTTGCTCCTCTTCCAGTCCAGCTCTCTCTTGTGGCCTGGGAGGGCAGCAGAGGATGGCCCAAGTGCTTGGGCCCTGCACCCGCATGGGAGACCAGGAGGAAGCTCCTGGCTCCTGGCTTCGGACTGGCGCAGTGCCAGCCGTAGCAGCCATTTGGGGAGTGAACCAACGGAAGGAAGACCTTTCTCTCTGTCTCTCTCCTCACTGTCTATAACTCTACCTGTTAAATAAAAAAAAAATAAAAAATAAAAAAATAAAACCTATCCCTAAAGCCCTAGGATCAGTGAAGCATTTGCTGCACTTTCCTTTGAAGGGTGCCATCGCCTTCCTAAGTGAACGGAGCCCCAGTGCAGTCTTCTTGGTAATGGCAGTGTTTGGCAATGGCTGCACGCCCCCGTCTCCTGTGATTCCTCCACAGGCTGACTTTGCAAGTAAGAAAGTTCCAGTTGTCTCCCCATTTTCCATGCTAGCCTGGGATCAACGGAGACACTATGGTAACAATGAGTTCTCCCTGCGCCCTTCTCCCACAGTGGCCCCTGCCACAGCTGGGCTTCATCTGTGGGCCTGGAAACAAACTCCTGCCCCCAGCACAGGACTGACTGTGAACCTGGAGGCTGAGCTCACCCCAGATTCGCAGCCCAATCCTCGTGGTTCTGAACTCTCAGCTCTGGCTGTCATTTTGTTTTAAAATAAGGGGGGAACCTGGCCATTTAGAAGGCGGCTGTCCATTTTTCCTCCATGTCAAACACTGTAAGAAAGAGCCAAGGAGACTGCTGTGGGTTTATCATGGGTCCCACAGGGAAAGCTCTCAAGCACTGGGCATTCTGTTAACCAGAACTTCCAACCAATCAGCATCCCTGCCTGTCTAGAAGATGTTAGAATGTTGATCCTAGAGAAGATTCTGGAGTGTTCCAATGGCTGCTCAACTGGCTTCCTTGCCCACAGTCTACTGCCTACCCACTGTCAAGCTCAAGTCTCCACATGGCTGCTCAAGTGAGCTTTCTAAGGGTGGGTGTTTGATGCCGCAGTTAAACCACCACTTGGGCCACCTACACCTACACCCCATGTTGGAGTGCCTGGGTTCGAGTCTTGGCTCCATTCCCGATTCCAGCTTCCTGCTAATCCAACAGGTGAAGGTCCAAGTAGTTGGGTCCCTGCCACCCACATGGGAGACGCTGATTAAGGTCCAGCTCCTAACTTTGACCTGGCCCAGTTCCTATTGCTGATGCCATTTGGGGAGTGAACCAGAGGATAGAAGACCTCTCTCTTTCCCTCTTCCTCTCTGGCTTTTTTTTTTTTTTTTTTTTGACAGGCAGAGTGGACAGTGAGAGAGAGAGACAGAGAGAAAGGTCTTCCTTTGCCGTTGGTTCACCCTCCAATGGCTGCCGCGGCTGGCGCGCTGCAGCCAGCGCACCACGCCGATCTGAAGCAGGAGCCAGGTGCTTCTCCTGGTCTCCCATGGGGTGCAGGGCCCAAGCACTTGGGCCATCCTCCACTGCACTCCCTGACCATAGCAGAGAGCTGGCCTGGAAGAGGGGCAACCAGGACAGAATCCGGTGCCCCGACCGGGACTAGAACCTGGTGCGCCGGCACCACAAGGCGGAGGATTAGCCTATTGAGCCGGGGCGCCGGCCCACCAGATGCTTTTTTAATCAGCCCTTTGCAGTCTCTCCAGTTTCCTTCCTTACTGCCCTACTCTCCTCTTCTCTCTGTTACCCTATTCAGCCACTGTGGTTTCTGCACTGTTCCAAGCCCACCTCAGGGCATTTGCACGTGCTAGTCCTGTGACCTGGAGCAATCAACCCCCTGATAGTCACATGGCTCACTCCGTTAGTCCTGTCAGGTTATAGGCCAAAGGTCAGAGAAGCCTTTCTGGTCTTTTCCTTATGAAAATGGCAACTCTTATCATCGCTGTCCTTTTAGCTTGCTTTAGTGTGTTTTCTTCACACTTAAAATTACATTGTTTACATATTGCTTACTGTTCGCATTGCTGTCTCCTGCACAAAAGTGTAGTCACCAAGAGGGCTGCATCCCGTACATGGAGGCAATCATGTGCCTGTGGTGGGTGCACGCCTAGCGTGTCTTAAATGAACGAAACTTCTCCCACGCTGCCCGCCACACTGCAGGTTCTACTCACTCCAGAGTACTTAATAATCCCCGGACTTCTTACCTGGTTGGTTTCGCACTTCTGGACCGAAAAACATTTTGAACTAAGGAATAACTTCAGGTAAGCTGCATACATATTAATGGTACGCTTGGTAAATATGTATGTGCCTGCAAAACATTCATGCGTATCCAATCTACATCAAAATGGAGGGCTTTTCCAGTCATCCCAAAGGCTCCCTGTAGCTCCGTGGCAGTCAGTATTCCTTGAGGACAACCCGCTATCTGACCTCTACCACCATAGATTAGTTAGTTGTGTTTGTTTAAAAATCATCTGTATACCATTCACCTCCATGCTAACAAGTGATTCTCTTGTCAATTGTTTATTATTATTATTACTCTCTAGAACACAGAGGGAGCGAGGAGACCCAGAACCAAAGGTCAGACAAGGCCACTGGCCTAGCATGCTGTACAAGGAGAGTTCCTGTTGTCCCCTCCAATTCCCAATTTTAAATGCCAGTGGATCCACGTGAGGCTGAAACCCGGGCTGCCAATGAACTCTATTAGCATGTGAAGTGGCTCATAAAAGTCCGAGGGTGGAACTGATATTCATCCCGGCCACCATAGGGGCTTGGCGCCACTGGGCAGAGTTGGGTAATTTACTCCCTTGGTGTTAATCTGTATCCAAGTTGGCCCATTGATAAATACCCAGCCATCCCAGCCTTTAATCGTCTCTTTTTCCCTGGGTTTAATGTCATTAGAACAAACCTCCATGGATTTTCACTGAGTTACATGACTGCCAATCTCTGCTATAAAAATATTTCCCTAGAGGTAAAATGTTGGCAATTGTTTCTGCTAAATCAGATGGTGTTTTATTCCAGAAGGAGATGGTTTCTCTCCGAGTCTAAGCCAGCCAGGCAGGGGTAGCAACTGCCACAGAAGGCCTCCTCTCCCTCCCGGGGCCTCCGGAAGGAAGGAGCTGGAAGGGCTGGGAGCTAAAACCCAATTTCATTCAGCTCTTGCCTAACCTGATCATTTTTGGAAGCACATGGCTTCTGTCTTCCCTATTATCTTCTCAAAACATCTCCCCCACGTCTCTAAAAGAGCACTATAAACCAATTACCTTCCAAGAGTTCTGCCTCTGCAGAGATGGGTTATATTTATGAAAACAGTTTTCATAGACTAAAAGGCTTTCTCTATGGTGTGCCAGGAAATAATACCACAATCCTGCCAAGAGAAGCTTCTAGAAACCAACAATACCACAGACACAGGAATAACCTTTGAGCCCGAGGATCAGGTTGGCGCTCGCACCTGACCTGTTTCTGTGTGTTGAGAGCCCGTTTCCTGTGTTATGACTCAAAGCGAATCATTTGTTCGGCTGAAATGCGTCCCAAATGCTTGCTGCCCCCAGTCTCAGGTTGCTTTGGCAGTGTGCATGAAGCTTGTGAAAAGCCAAATTTCATTTGCATTGAGATCTTTCCTATTGAAATTCATAATTCCATGAGAATTAGTGTGTGTGTGTGTGTGTGTGTGTGTGTGTGACCGACCCAGGGCCCACAGTTAGTGAGAGGCTGTTTACAGAGTCAGCCCTCCAGAGAAGGACCTCAGAGAGTGGTGAATGGTGACAGACACAGTTGGTGGCTTCCTTCAGGGGCTAATTTATGGGGTTCCATGGAGACCTCTTTCTGTCCTTCCAGCACCCATGTAAACAATTCCCTGTATCAAATCCCTGTGATTGAAAACACCTGGTAGGGTTTATAGTTTCCTGTCTGACTCATCGTATTTTACACTTACCCATAAAGCAGTCTAACATCCATTTGTAGGCAGAAGGCTGGGTACAACTAGATGAATGAGTAAATAAAAAATGATGAGACTTCTTGGGGGCTCAAATCTCCCTTCACATTAAGCAGAATCAGAAAGAACTACAACGGTGGTGATTATACAAGGTTACTTTAAAAAGTTCATGGAACATGCATATTATCAGAAAAAAATCTTTGCATGTGTTTCAAAATTTTTGCACCAAAATGATATCTTTTAATTCCCTTTTCCACGTGCTTTTTGAAGTATCCTAATAGTAAGGCCTTCAACTGATTGAGTGAGGCTCACCTGCCCATAATGTGGGGAGTAATCTGCTTTATTCCACCTACTGATCAAAGTTTAGATCACCCACAAAACACCTCCATAGAAACGTCTGTACTAATGTTTGAGGGCAGATAGTTGGCCTGGCAGTTAGACATTGGTTGAGATGCCCCTGTCCCAAATCAGAGAGCCTGAATTTGATCCCCGTCTCCGGCTCCTGAGTCGGCTGCAGACCCTAGGAGGCAGCAGTGATGGCCCAAATGCTTGGGTTTCTGCCACTCACATGAGAGACTTGGATGGGGTCCCTGGCTCCCAGTTTTGGTCCCGGATCTGACTTGGTCTGGAAATTCATTCTCATTCTCTTTCTCTTTCTCTCCACTCCCCCATCCCCCGCCAGTAGATAAATAAAACAATGTTTGACCAAATATGGAGGCATTGTAGTCCAGCCAACTCGACACACAGCACTAACTGTTCCACCGGCCTCTCTGTGTTCCGGTGAGACAGCTCTCCCAGCCTCCCCCATCTCCTCATTTTCCCTCGCAGCTGTCCTCTAGTAAATCTCTCGCGTGGCCAATCCCGATTTGGTATCTACTTCTCAAAATGCCCAGACCCACACATTCCCGCATCTCCAGGGCCTGATTCACAGTAGGTTCTCAGTGAATACCCACTGGGTGAAACAGTGACGGTGTGGCTGTGAGAGCAGTTTGCAGGGACATGTGGCCCTCTGGTCACTGGGGGTGATTCCTCCGATGAGATTGCTCAGAGGGTCCCCTTCCTCATCTCCTTGACTTCTAAACCCTGTTTTTTTGACTTCTCTTTGTCTTAACAGGAAAGGACATAACCCCTCAGTAGAAGAAACCCAGGCTCCACCAACAGCATTTGAACGTTTCTTTGCCTAAGATGGCCAAGCTTTCAAAGAGTCTCTTCTCCTTTGAAATCCCAGCATAACCAGAGGAACCAGGTTATTTTCCAGTTGCTTACCGGCCAGGGCGCTGCTGCAGTAGAAGCTAACTGGGTCCACTGGGATCCCTCGTCTGGGCGGAGAAAAAGGCATTTGTGAATGTGGGATGCTCGCCAGAGGCAGGGCTGGTCTGAGGAGGGTGGGAATAATCCCACTTCCTGAACTTCTAGGGCAGCCTGACCAAGTCAAATTAAACTCAACTGTACAGAAAAAAAAAATGTCCTTGGGGGGGTGGGAAGTGAAAAGAGAGGCCTGGGGAACTTAGCACAAAGGGCACCATGAGAAGCAGCTGGGTCTTTGGTCTCTGTGACTGGTGGGGGTGACCACTGTCAGGTTTGGAATAATTCGGGGTTCTGGCTTTTTGTACCCCCCCCCCAGAAAAGAGAGACAGAAAAAGGAGACAGAGCCGACCTCAACAGACAGGTTGCTTTATTAAAGCCAAGAGGGGCAACAGTCTGTTCATGCGAAGAGACTGCGGCAGGTGTCCGTAGACTGTGCCTTTATCTGGTTGCAGAGACAACTTGCCTCGGGCGGGAAAGGGAGCCTGTGGCTGGAGACTGGCGGAAGTAGGGGGTGTCTGCTTCACAAGGTGCCCTGTGCACTTCTCTGCTTCGCCAGATGTTTTGCACGGAGTTTGGGGGAGGTTGGGCTCGGTTCCTGCTCTTGCTGAGGGTTTCAACAGAAAGGGGAGTGGGGGAAGGTTACGTCCTGTGAGTTGCACTGCCCTTCCGCCACAGCACCTACAGAACCCTCACCCGGGTTCCAAGTTGAATGTCCCAGCATCTTCCTTCTGCCCAGAGGGTGGTTCCCATGGTCACTGCCAACAGGGAGGGGAGCTCTGCAAAGTGCAGCCCCTGGGGAAACTGCCCTCACATGCCATCGCCACCCCACCCTCTACCCAGCCGTGTCAACAACATTCCGACCTGCACACACCTGGCTCTGCTGGTTGTAGATCTACCTAAGGCGGCGGCTCTCCGCCTGGAAGTCCCTCACCTTTAGAAGCCCAGAGAGGGGCTGGCATTGACCCAGGTTGCGGGGCTGTAGAGCACTTCCTCCAACCAGGCCTGGGGAGTCCTAGAATAGAGGAACGCAGCCCTGCTGACACCTTGATTCCAGTCCTCTGAGGCCCCAGTTGGCCGTCTCACCTCCACAAATGTACGATAATTAATGTCTGCTGTTTTAAGCTACTGAGTGTGGTGATTGTGACAGCTGCAATAAAAAAACAAAACACACAAACGAAAACAAGGACCTCAGACCCTCCCCACCCATGTCGATGTGTAGAGTTTCAGTACGTTGTGGTGGAAGAAATGATCCATGGAGTAGGAGACAGGGTGGAGGTGAGATTCGGAGGGGAAGGGTGAGAAAGCCCACTGCACACTGATTTTGGGATCATGTCAGAGTCGGCCATCAGGGCCGAGGTGTGGACTCGGTGCCTGGTGGGCGCTAGGATTAGCTGTCCTGTGAGGGGTTGCAGTGACAGCAGGGGCCTTTGGGAGGGTGACCACACACTGCAGTCACCCTCTAGGAGCCACTGGTGAAGCTTTCCCTTGCACATCACCTCCCAGAGTCACTGGTCAAGTGCCTCTTGCACCCCCCTCGCAGAGCCTGTGTCTCAGAGGGTGGGTCTCAGAGTCACCCGCGGTGCTTCTTTGCCCTCCCATGTCTGGGTCCTCTGCAAGCCCAGTGCAATCAGAAGGTCAGCAGATGGTGATGGGGCTCCCCAGGGGTCCAGTCTGGAAGCCATTGTTCCAAAGTTACAGCACAAGGCCGCAGGGCCTCCTGCCAGGAGGCCAGGCCCACTGCCCCAGGCAGTCTTGGGTGCCAGCCATTGAGATTCTCAAGGCAGATGTCCTGCTACAGTTGAACTCCTTGGGGGTCACCGTCTTTGACTTTGGAGCCTATGTTGTCGTTTATTGGGGCTCGGCTGTCCTGAGTGTAGGAGCTTTGGCCTTAACCAGACTCCTGGCAATTCTTTTTGGCTTTTTAGCTTTTCACCATTTTTGGGCTCTTCAATACGTTCTTGGCTGAGCAGCTACTGCTGGTTTCTTGACTTCTGTTCCTGTGGCTGTTGGGTTTTGGGCTTGGCCGCACCTGCCCTCCTGGCCTCGGCTTGAAGTTCCCTGGAAGTCACTGTGTTTGTTGAAAGGAACCTGAGGTGCTGGTGCCCCCGGTGTGCACCCGCCTGCCCTTGCTCACCAGGCTCCTGAGACCCGGCTGGATAAGTTGTTCCTCTCTACTTCCTACTTAGTGGACATCAGTGCCTTCAAAAGTGAGCTCAAATTATCAGAAAGGAGTATCCCATTACATTTTTTTAACTGCATCTTATTTATTTGAGAGACAGAGAGGGCGCACGCTCCCATCTGCTGGTTCACTCCGCAAATGCTGGCAATGCCTGTGAAGGACCCCAAAAAGTGGTGCCCTTTTGTGACGACCCCAGAAACACAGACTCCAGACCAGGTGATGCAAAAAGCAAGAGGCAGTTTTATTTCATTTGCGCAAATGGGCCCTCCTGCTGCCGCAAGCAGCAGGAAAGAGAGAGAGAGCCCTGAGCAATCTTTTCACACAGCTTTTAAAGGGCAAAACCACAAGATTAACATATTATAGGGTGGCGTAAGTTCATTGGGCAACTACAAGGGGAGGGGGTCGTTGAGGAGGAGAAACGGGTGGCTACCTGCCTTAGTGCCTTGTGGTTTCTTTGTTGAGCTTGAGCAAGCACAGGGGAGGGGGCTTATGTACGTAACAGGATGTTCTGTCGCCAGTATCTCTGAGTAGTATCCAACTGCTTTTTCTGTGAACCAGTTTACTCCCCCATTTCCCATGACTGTTTCTGGAACTGTTTGTCTCAGTTCCTGTTTTTCTATTTTATCAAGGCCACTTTTATGGCGGCTCACGGCCGCTCCCTTCACCTGGGTAGAGCCAGGAGTTGGAACTCCATGCAGATCTCCCACAGGAGTGGCAGAAACCACCCCCCCACCCCGCCTCCTGGACTCTTCACTGGTGGGAAGCTGCAGGCAGACGCTGAGACTCAACCCCACGACACGCTGGGGGATCCTTGCATCCCTGGAGGAAGAGGATTCAGACAAGAGACAGAGGTTGGTGATCACCCTGCAGAAGTTAATGGAGGAGTGGGGGTGGGGGATGGAAGGGGCTGGTGGGGAGCTCAGCAGAAAACCGAGCGCCCTGTCTATGCTTAGACTGGGGTTTCATGGGTGCAGGGGGGACTTTTTCCTGCCGTTCCTACTCCACCCCCTCAGGGATGTTGCTGGGCAGGAAGCTTCCAGGGTGCGAGGGTGCCTGGAGGGGAGGGGGTATTCTTGTCCATTGTGATCCAACAGGAAGGTCCATATGCACTGGGCCAGGAAGCCCCGCCCTCAGCTGTCCTTGGGGGGTGCGGATCCCCCTTCCCTGGGGTGTTATTGGACGGGAAGATTTCCTGGCCGCTGGATCTTCCCTACAGTGTCAGCGGCCTGGGCAGGAAGAGTTCCTGGTGGAGGTGTTCCCTCCAAGGTTTCCAGAGGGACTTTTGATGTGCAAATGTCAGGTTGCTTTCAAGGCAAGCTTCAAAGACCTCTAGGTTCTTCCCTGATTCAGCTGCAGGAAATTCTAGTTTTTTTTTTTTCTTTTTTCTTTTCTTGTCATGCCTATGGGCTCATGCCTGTTTGCCTTCTCCCTGCCTAATACTGAACCGCTAGGATAAATGTCCTCTCCCTTATGTAGTTTTATGGTTTTAAAAAGTAACCCCAGGGCATCCATATTCTGTCCCAAGGATAAAGGTCCATAATGGGGAGTCAAGAATCTATTGGAGGGGCCAGCATTGTGGCGTAGCAGGTTTAACACTGGCATTCCATACAGGAACCGGTTCGAGATCTGGCTGCTCTGTTTCTAATCCAGCTCCCTGCTAATGTGCCTAGGAAAGGAGCAGAGGACGGCCCAAGTGCTTGGGCCCCCGCACTCACCTGGGAGACCTGGAAGAAACTCCTGGCTCTTGGCTTTGGCCTGGCCCAGCCCCAGCCTTCACAGCCATTTGGGGAGTAAACCAGCAGATGGAAGATTCTCTCTCTCTCTCTCTCTCCTCCTCTGAATGTAACTCTGCCTTTCGAATAAATTAAGAATCTACTGGAAGGACTAGGCAAATGATTAAAATATAAGATTTACAATTTTGAGGAGAAATGACACAGGTTTCAAAGCAGTTGGGGGCAGTGCATGGGTGGATGGGAGAATAGAGACATAGCTGTTGCCTGCTGTTGTGCCAGCCCCCCTGCTTTCTAGGGTGAGAATCTGGGTGAGGTGTTTGCATCTACGAAAGTAGATTTCCCTATCTGTGAATTTGACTAAATTCCAGCCTCACCTCAAAGTAGACTCCTCTGTCTTTCTCCATTGCCTTTATATTAGTTATGGAACTGTGTATTGTCTTTCTCATCCACTAGTGGGTCAGCTCTGTGAAGACGGCGACCTTGGCCATCCTGTTCACTACATGAGGTTTAATGCCTAGAATGGTGCCTGACATATAGCAAATATTTGAGAATTAGCCGTTCTGGAAAAAAAAATGTAGACTTTAAAAGAAATAAGATATGTAATACACTTGGCATAGTGCCTGGCGTGTTGTTGAAGAGATTTTGGCTTTGTTACCATTGTGATCATTGCTATCAGTTGCTGGAAACTTGGAGTATGCTCTTCTGAGCTAGGGAAAACTGGATTAAAAGACCTTAAACTATGAACAAGCCCTTTGGGTCATATCCACTCCTGCAAACTCAGCCATTTCTGCCTGAACTTCTAACCTGGTCTTCAGCCCTGATCCACCTGCCGAGCCACCTGCTCACCTTGCTGTTCTCTGAGTCAGCATCACCCAGCTGCTGGGGATTTCTCATGAGGGCTTTGTACACACGCAGAGCCAGAACAGCCCAAAGGACTCCAGCAAACCCTCCTTGTGCTCCCAGCAAGCATGGCCCAGACTCCTACAAGGACGCCTTGGATATGTAGGCAGGGCTGATGTCATGGGTATGTGGCATTGGCCCTGTTGTTCAGAAGGGTCCAAAGCTTGGTTTAATTCTCTGCAGTTGCCACCTTGAAATTCATTGTCATTGAACTTGAACAATGGAGCCTGCACCTGAGCAGAGGCCTTGCCGTGCATTTGCATGTATTTATCCAAATGATGCTCCCTGAACACAGAGTGCTGGTGGACTCATGATGTGTGGGAGTTCAGGGACACTCAAAAGTGAGTACCAGGAAGCATGTTGCACCTACAACTGGGTGGGTGGGCATGCCAAGAGCCCCAAGATGTCCTGCTTTCCGGTCAAACTAGAACTTACTTCAAACATAGACAGGAGGCAGGAGTATTCTAAGAAACCCCAATGACCCAAATTCTCGATCCTGTTGTGATGAGCAGAGTGATGGCTCCCAAAGGTGTCAACACCTTGACCCCTGGGTCCCATGAATGTGATCCGCATTCCTTATGTGGGTTGAAAGGACTTTGCAGATGCCATGAAGGCCTGAAAATAGGGAGATTCTTGGATGATCAGAGCATGAGGAGGTGGGGTGGGCAACTTAATCCCATGAGCCCTTTAAGGTTGAGAACTTTCTCCACCTGGAGGCAGAGTGCTCAGCAGAAAGAGAAGTCAGACTTCAGACTGAGCCCTGCAAAGATTGCATAAGCTGTCTTGGCTCCCAGGCCGGGTAATGAATGGGATTTGGCCCTGGGGATGTTGTTCACTGACCCCTGGCCTAGTTGGGGGCTGGGCATAGGGGATGCTCCAATGGCTGAGACAGGCACATGTTGCCAACAGCCTCTGTCCAGCAGGGAAGCAGATGGGCAAACAGGCTATGACCAACCCATGGACTGAGAAGGAGTGTGAGCACATAGGTGTGTGGAGGGGTCCTGGGGTTGGGGGCAGCTGGGGAGGGCTTCCCAGAAGAGGGAGGCATGACCCAAGCCAGCAGAATCAGGAAAATCCCAGCGGCTGTCTTCCAGAATCGGAGCTTGATGGGGAGCTGCCTGTACAGGGTGGGGAGTTTTCACTTCAAAGCTTTTGAGCCCCTAAACAGCCCCCTCCCTCAGTGTCTGCAGAGACCAAGCCCTACAGTGAGAAGAGATGTGGTGCCTGGGAGGACAGACCCCCCTCCCACTGTTCCGCTCCATGCGACAAATGGAGGGGACGTGTTGAGGAGATGATTGTGAGTCAAGCCACACTGGGCATCCAGACAGAGGCAGAGGAGCCTGTGTCACAGGCAAAGTGGGTCAGATTCATGGGTCCCCACTGTGTGCTTGGCTGTTTTGGGTTCTACCGTATCCCTTAAAAGTCCACATATTGATACCCTAACCATGTGCCTCCTAGTGTGACCTTGTTTGGAGACAGGGTTGTCACACATGCAATTAGTTTTTTTTTTTAAAGATTTTATTTATTTAGTTGACAGGTAGCATTATAGACAGTAAGAGAGACAGAGAGAAAGGTCTTCCTTCAGTTGGTTCACCCCCTAGGTGGCCGCTATGGCCGGTGCGCTGCACCAATCCGAAGCCAGGAGCCATGTGCTTCTTCCTGGTCTCCCATGCGGGTGCTGGGGCCCAAACACTTGGGCCATCCTCCACTGCCCTCATGGGCCACAGCAGAGAGCTGGACTGGAAGAGGAGCAACCGGGACTTGAACCGGCGCCCATATGGGATGCCGGTGCGGCAGGCAGAGGATTAACCTAGTGTGCCACGGTGCCAGCCCCCCTCATACATGCAATTAGAATGAGGTCATAATGCAGTAATCTGGGCCCCTAATCCGGTATGTCTGGTCTCCTGATTATCTCAGTCTGTTTGCTGTCGCTATTACAAAGTACCCGAGAGGTCAATGTATGAAGAAAGGAAGCTCGGCTAGTTCAGGTTCTGGGGGCTGGGAAGTCAGGAGCATGGTGCTGACATCGGCTCATATCTGGTGGCGGCCTTCTCACCGCATCCTAACACAACAGAGGCAGCCCATGGTCAGGCGAGCAAGCGTGGTGGGTCAGGCCTCCCCCCTCCTCTTGCAGAGCCACTAGCACCATCCAAGGACCTCATCCCATCCTAACTGCCTCCCCAAGGCCCCACCTCCAATCCTATTAACATATGCCCCGGGGGATTGGGTTTGCAACACTTGAACTCTGGGAGACAGACATTCAAGCCATGACACTGATAAACACTGGCGATCTGGACACAGACTCTGGTTTGTCTTTAATATGGAGTGAGAGCTTAGAAGACACAGCAGGGCAATCCTGGCCCAAAGTCCTCCCAGTTTTGCCCGCCTCTTTATAGTCTCACTCACACGCTATTCCACAGCAACTCCATAGCAACGTCCTATTCATGAAGTCTTCCCTGGGCATTTAACATCATTTTCATAGGAACATTCTTTCCCCCTGCATTCATGTTGCATCAGTTTGCATAGTATTGAGTTACTTGATGAGACTACATAAACGCGTACAGCTGCCACAAGCCACTGCTGGACAAGTCCAACAGACTCCTACTGAACATGGACCTGAGCTGGGGGGAGTGGCGGATGGAGTGCATTCATTTGCAGAGCCCCCTGGCCCACGGGGGGCCATGGTCATCACATTTTCTGGTGGAAAAATAGGGGTCAGTTCTAAAAGCTGTCACCTTTCATGATGGATTCAGCCATGAGACGGGAGAGTTTGATAGTTTCCGAGTATGTTTTTCTACTCAATGCTCAGCTGACCATTCTGGTCACTAAATTTTCGGTTTAATGTTTAGGGTAAAAGTGATTACAGGAAGTCTCCCAACTTAGGATGATTGATTGCATTTCTGATTTTTTAATGTTATGAAGGTGTAACAGCAACGTACATTCAATAGAAACAGTGTTGAACTTTGAATTTTGATCTTTCCCCTGCTAGCAATCTCCAGTATACTTCTTTCTCGTCATGCTGGGCGCAGCAGTGAATGAGCACAGCTCTCAGTTAGCCCTGTGATCGTTCAGGCTGCAGGCAACCGCTACAGTTTGCTGTGTTGTCACCTAGGATGTTTGTGGGTTGGGTGTGTTAATGTTCAACTTATAATATTTTCTTTTTTTTTTTTTTTGATAGGCAGAGTGGACTGAGAGAGAGAGAGACAGAGAGAAAGGTCTTCCTTTTTGCTGTTGGTTCACCCTCCAATGGCCGCCGCAGCAGGTGCGGCCGGCGCACCGCGCTGATCCGATGGCAGGAGCCAGGTGCTTCTCCTGGTCTCCCATGGGATGCAGGGCCCAAGGACTTGGGCAATCCTCCACTGCACTCCCCGGCCACAGCAGAGAGCTGGCCTGGAAGAGGGGCAACCGGGACAGAATCCGGCGTCCCGACCGGGACTAGAACCCGGTGTGCCGGCGCCGCTAGGCGGAAGATTAGCCTAGTGAGCCGCGGCGCCGGCTCGATTTATACACCGGCTGAACTTATAATATTTTCAACTTGTGATGGCTTTATTGGGAAGTGACCTCGATCATGAAGTCAAGGAACATGTGGATTTCTTAGGATGAATGCGTAGCAAGTAGATATCTGTCTAGGGTCCAAAAACCTGCATGCTTTTCAAGCTGGTGATAGAATTTGCCCAATTGTCCTTTATGTAGTACCTAGCAGTGCTAAGCTTAAGTGTTCTCCCAACCTGTTCTCAACTCTGGGTAGCACAGAGGAGTTCATTATGTTTGACTTCAGCAAATTAAACTCTACGTGTTCAGTAAACTTTCTACCACACCATATCACCAACACCACCACAACAAAACAAACAAGCAAAAAACCCAAAAACCATTTCTAATTCAAGCCAATGCTTCAACCACTGTTCGAGCCTTGTTGCAGAGGTGTTTTGAGGGATGCACCAAGAGGTGCGGCCAAGGTCAGCCTGTGCAGGTTACGGCTGGGACACTCCTTTTCCTGTCCACCGAGAGCCTTTGGGTGTGGGGTTCTCCCTGCTCCTGCGGGGTCGCAATAATTTTCCTGCTTGGTCTCACCAACCACGACCTCCTCTCTGGGGTCTCGTTGAATCTACCAGCAAGCAGAGTGCCAGGCACCCTGTTTAACAGCTTCTTGGCGCTTGTATCCCCATCATCTCCTTTCCTTTTCCCTTTTCCACCACCCAGGAAGCCCTTGCTTGATCTTAGGGAAGTCCTCCTTTCTTCCAAGGCATAGTGGAGTCTTCTTCAGTAGCCGTGGGGCTTTAGGCTTTTAGGAACCAGAACCAGGAGGAGGTCTGTGAGTACTGTCCCAACCCTTCCCAAGAGCCTTGCTCTTTGAATGACAATGGCAATGAAAGAAAACATCAGGAAAAAGAAAGTGATTATTCAGATAAAATTCTCCTGCCCCACATCTCTTAGCTCACAGCAATCTGCAAATGTGATCTTACTCTTTTAAGTTAGCCTTTTGACAGGAGCTCATAGCGTTAACTATAAGATCACTTTGAATCCATTATTTTCAATGGCTAAAATATTTAGGATAGTGCATAAGATAATCTTTCATTCAGATAATAATTCCTCACTGAATTATATTACCTACAGGCTTTACTGCTTTTAACTGAGATAAAAATGAACCAGATTTGACTTCTTAGTGGGGTTCAGTGTCAGATGGGGTTGTTGAATAGGACTCCATTGGACTCAACAAGTCCCCTCTGTGTGTGAACTTGGGCTGGACCTGGTGGACAACACCAACCTGAAAAGGTCACTGCCATCACCCTAAAGAGTGTGCAAATTGATCTTCCTATTTAGATGAATTGAGAGAAGTCAGTTTAAATGACTGCATGTCAAAAAGTTTAAGTCTTTGGAGAAAATTCACAATCAAAATTTTTTTTTAAAGAAAACAGAGTAAGACCGTCTGATTGCTCACCCCAGTCTGGGAGGCAGCAAACCAACACTCTCGGGCATCCTCGGAGAGAGGAATTTTGAATATTTTGCATTCTGTCTTCCCCTGCAGCAGCCTGAGGAGACTGTGACATCAGAGAACAGGAGACTCAGACAAATGTCACAGCCACCTCCCAACGCATTCTCAGTTCTAATTTGGACCAGGTCAGACCATCTGGGGTACGTACTTCTACCTCATTAATTTTGCCCTTTTATGAATGTCTTCATGGAGTGGAAAGAATAGCGGGGATGTTTTTGGAGTCTGACTGACCTGGGCCGCATTCCAGCTGCTTTGGCTACTGCGTGTATAATCTTGGGTAATGAACTCAGGCCCTCCTTGTGAAAACATCCCCGAGTCCTGCTTCTTCCGGAAATGAATTATCCCCTCCCGCGGGTGAAATTCGCATAACCACGGTGGCGGTGGCGGTCTCTTTATCAAGTGTGTTCATTTCATCACGGGCTTGTCTTCTCCTAGCACCTTGACAGTAGGGAGCATGGCTGAATTGTAGCTGTGCCCCAAGACAGCACAGAGCCTGGCACGTGCGGATGTCTTAGGAGGTACGTCATAGATTTGTTCTGCAGAAGCTGCAACAGCAGGGCTGGGCCAGGACAAAGCCAGGAGCCGGGGGCTTCTTCCAGGTCTCCCACGTGGGTGCAGGGGCCCAAGAACTTGGGTCATCTTCCACTGCTTTCCCAGGTGCCTTAGCAGGGAGCTGCCTTGGAAGTGGAGCAGCTGGGACTTGAACTGGTGCCCATAAGGAATGCCGGCATGCAGGTGCTGGCTTAACCTGCTACATCACACTTCTATGTGATTCGGTAATCAAACACTTGATCTTAGCAATGTAAATGCATCTTTTATTGTAGACTATCTTAAAAATTTGGAAGAATAGTAAATAAATGAGCAACAATAATAGTAGGCAGAGCAGAAAGTATTGCCAAGGGGCAGTCTCTATTTTTTATAATGAAACCATTAAAAATTTTGAAAAAAATCTAATGAATATTTATTCTACCAGATATATAGACTTTTTCCATAAGATCTTTTTTATATCATTCACCTGCAGAGAAAAATCACTTTTTCATAGATTAAACCAGGATAAATACCAGCCCACTCTCTGTCCAAAGTGTCATAAATTTTCCATTAGTGAACTAATGAGATTTAATGAAGCCCAAATTAAGGCTCATAACACTTTGGAAAGAATCTTTCTTTGCTCTCAAACCCTGCGCCTTTGCACTCATCTTCAAAGGAAGCATTAATGAGAAGCAATAAATCCCAGCATGATTGTGATTAAATTTCATGAATTAAACAGAAGCACTTTTGCAAAATGGTAAATTCAATCAGTAGAACAGATATTTTTCCTTTTCAGTCAAACCAAGGCCCAAATGTTTCTCCAGACCTTGGCGCTTTGATTCTGAGGATTACTGAGTATCATGTTTTCAAATATCTTCAAGATTACATTGCAAAACTTAACTCCTGCCTTGGAAAACGGGGCCCCACACTGCCTTGCCTTTCCTCCTGCCTGTCCCATCCCCCACTCCCCAACACACACACCTGCAAATTTGGCGGCTCCTTGGACAACAGTGAGGGAGTACTAGTGGCTCTGACTGTAGAGTTGTAGAATGCAATTCTTGCACTCTGGGTTCTCTGTGTTAAGTGAGAAGCACCAGCTCGGAAATAATTTCTGCCAGTCACTGTAGGTTTTCCAGTGCCTTGGCAATGAGAACCGGCAGCTCACTGACAGCATTTTAAATGACCTACATTTGTGTGGAAAGCCACGTGGCCCAGCCCAGCAGGATTAGAGAGGGCAAAGATGCTCTGGCCCTGATTGCCCATCCACGCAAGCAGGCTGGATCCTGCCTGCTTGGCGTCTCTGTCTCACCATCTGCACCACTGCCGATGCATTAGGCAGGTGTCCCTACCGCTGCTGGAAGGGACATTTGTTCCCTGTAATTTGCCACTTTTCCAGGTGGTTAAGGGAAATTGGACTCATCGCTGGCTACCAGAGGCAAGCAAATTGGGAATGATATGAGTGAGTTAATGCCAATCCTTGTCTGGGTAAATACCATTCATGGGGTCAACGCTCAAGTGGAGAATGGCTCCCCAGCTAACTTGGAGTGGACACCCCAGGAACATCCAACATCCCTCATGAAAATTTTGGAACGTTCCATCCTGTTGTCCACATGTTGATCAGACCACAGATTTTGAACTTTGGAGAATATTGTCTCTGTACTCAAGGTTGAAATATATTTCTCAAAGAATGTGTCTTGAAAACAATTGCAAATCCCTATACCTCAGAAGTGAGGAGGCTGGAGGGCACAATGCTCACATGTTTCCAAGGAGAGTTCAGGACCAAGGTTCCTCACATTCAGCAGAGTTCTAGAGACTACTTTTTAGGTCTTTCTGCCCTTAGTCCTGGCCAAGGGTCTCCTATTCCCCTGTGGTTTCCCTCTGCTGTACTTCTGGTGCTAGGGCTTCCTCCCAAGCTCCAGACAAAGGGGCGTGGCTGAAGAGGAACCAATCATAGTACCCCAGATTCTGGAATGTGGTGCTTGGGCTCCTTGCTCATTGCATGGAGACACCCTTCGTTCAATCATAGACTATTTGGGAGGCCTCTGCCTAGATAGAGCACTACTCCGGGCACTGCCTGGGAAAAGAGCCATGAACAAAACAGTGACATCTCCTCTCTTTAGAATGTTTACATGATGGGGTGGGTGGGAAGTACTGAGGCAGGTAACAAACAAGTCAATACACACGATTATTTGTGGCAGTGCTAAGTGTCACAGTGGATGTGAGTAGATGAGTGACAGAGCACTAGGCTAATGCCCAGGAAGAAGTGGAAATTAGGGTGTGGGGGAGAAGACCCTAGGGATACTTGAGTTGCCGGTTTTAGCTGTCCCATAAACCCAATTCCACCCCCCAGTAAACTCCCTCTCAGGCCAAAGTCGAGTCCAGGTCTTGGCTCATACATTCCTGATCACTTTTTAATACCATGAAGATCCTGGTTAAAAATGGCCAACGAGTCAGCTAGCAAATCTCTGCTGACCTGGTTCTGTACCAGGTGCTGTGGTGAACTCAAAGATGAGCAGGTTAAGCTCAGTCCCCTTAAGGATCTTTTAATTAATTAGCTGGCTGCTGAGCGGTGGGAACAGGTTCATGTGACAATACCAAACAGATTTCGTGGGGCCTAATGTTGACTGCCCTACTTGCTTGGGGAGGGGGAGAGTGACCATACACATGGGCCTCAAAAAATTCATGGAAAAGTGGACTTAAAAGATAAGTTTGTTCTGGAGCAAAAAAATTTTGAAATCCATGCTTGGTTTTTTTTTTTTTTTTTTACCATTGGGCACAAACTTTTTGCCTTGTGTAAGAATGCCTCTTTGGAGAAGGCACTGGGATTGAGATAGCACTCAATTTCATCTTCACTGAATCCCAATTGTTGAATAAAAGAACACTGAAGCACAGACATTCAGGTGCAAGATCAGATTTGAAAACATTGATTATTTTGTTTATTGATTAATTCATTGCCTATTAAAAATGATTATAGGGAAGACTGGGAGGGGAGAGAAATGGGCTAAAAACCTAACAGTATCTAGGAAATGTGGGAAACCACATTCTTGCCTTTCTCTTTTTCTCTCTCTGTTCTGCCCTTCAGTGATTTTATCCAGTCCTAGAGTTTTAACTACAACCTGGATGCTGGTGATTTCCAAACTTTTGTCTTTAGCCTAGAGCCTATCTTTAGTCCTCTCAACTCTAGACTTAGACATCGAGTCTTGTTGACATTTCCACTTGTAACCCAAGCGTAACATTCAAAATTGCAGTCTTAACTCTACACCCACACCCAACCTGTTCCTCCTTGGTCTTCTTCCTTGGTAAATAGTTCCACCATCCACCAGGGAGATGGGTCAGAAACGTAGTTCTTCCTGTTTCATCTCTCTGACCTCCTACTTCCAAATCATCAAAACTACTTCTTGAGTCCATCTCATGACCATCACCCTGTCCATCATCATCATCTCTAATGTAAGTCTCTGCTCATCGGAAGTGGACTCAGCTTCCTTGGAAGGGATCATGGAGGCTAGGAAGGCATCCATTGCACACTGACGACCCATCCAAGGAAGTCACAAACTCTAATGTATTCCTAGTCCAGAAAGAAATAACGCTTGCATCCTCCACTGCTTCTGGTGAGTTGTGCTGTGACTCTAGAACACGTAGAGTTGGGACTACTTCATGAAATGTCAGCACTGGAAAACAGTTTGAGATCATCTAGACCAACTGCTTCATAACACCAGTGGGAAAACTAAGGTACAAAGAGATTAAATGTCCTGTTGAAATCACCCCAATTAACTAATTATATGTAATACCTCAAACCAAAATGGATTTAAAATAGCTGCATCTAAATGACTATATGTGTAATATTCCTCTAAGACATCGTTCTTCAAGCTTGTTTCTGCAGACTGGGCTTTTGATAAGAATTAGGAAGCGAGGAGTTTGAGGGGGTGCCCTGAGTGTCCTAGAGAACATGTATTGTGGTGTGCATTAAATATGGCTCCACATGCTCCAATAGTCAGCCAGCTCTTGAAGAGGATTGACGTCCTTTTTGTACAAATATAGCAGTTCCATGTTCTCAAACCTCACTGCAAGTGAATGGAGTCCCTGGATATGGCCAAGATACCCTTTAGAAAACAATTCTAGGACCGGCGCGGTGGCGCACTAGGTTAATCCTCTGGCATCCCATATGGGCGCTGATTCTAGTCCCGGTTGCTTCTCTTCCAGTCCAGCTCTCTTCTGTGGCCTGGGAAAGCAGTGGAGGATGGCCCAAGTGCTTGGGCCCCTGCATGTGCATGGGAGACTGGGAAGAGGCACCTGGCTCCTGACTTCAGATCGGTGTAGCTCCAGCCGTAGCGGCCATTTGGAGAGTGAACGAACGGAAGGAAGACCTTTCTCTCTGTCTCCCTCACTGTCTGTAACCCTACCTGTCAAATAAATAAAAAAAATCTTAAAAAAAAAAAAAAAGAAAACATCTCTGATGTTGTAGCATAGAGGGTAAAGCCTGCAACACCATCCATGTGAGCTCCGGTTCAAGTCTTGGCTGCTTCCTTTCCAGTCCATCTCCCTGACTATGGTCTGGGAAAAGCAGCAGCAGATGACCCAAGTGTTTAGGCCCCTGCTACCCATGTGGGAGACC